AGAGAGGGAACACAAGCAGGGGGAGTGGGAGAGGGAGAAGCAGGCCTCCCGCGGAGCAGGGAGCCCGATGCGGGGCTCGATCCCAGGACCCTGGGACCGTGACCCGAGCCGAAGGCAGACGTTTAACGGCTGAGCCACCCAGGCACCCCGATTTGTATTATTTAACTACACAAACCTATTGGATGGATCTGTTGCTCCAAGTATTCTGAATTAAATAGAAAGGCAGGATTCAGCCTTCTTGATGTTTGTTGGACTTAGAGAAGCAGCAGAACTGTCACCCTGGGACTTTTTAAAAATATAAGGTCTTGTCCTCAGCTGACTTCCTGAATCACAATTTGCATTTTACCAAAATCAGCAGGGAGATTCACAGGTGCATAAATGTGATACCTGAGAGGTAGCAGTGCCTGTGTGTCCCTGAAGGGAAAAGAGACACTCCAGGAAAAAGAACAGGAGTGTTTTTTTTTTTTAAAGATTTATTTATTTATTTGAGAGAGTGAGAATGAGAGAGAGTACATGAGAGGGGGGAGGGTCAGAGGGAGAAGCAGACTCCCTGCCGAGCAGGGAGCCCGATGCGGGACTCGATCTGGGACTCCAGGATCATGACCTGAGCTGAAGGCAGTCGCTTAACCAACTGAGCCACCCAGGCGCCCCAGAACAGGAGTGTTTTGGTCAAGAATGAGTGGGGATCCAGCAAGCACCATGCATACAGTGCCTCCTGGCATTCTTGGCTGCTGTGTTGCCATCCCGAGGACATGGAGTCAGGGACAGTGAGCCACTGTCCCTGGGGGAGATGCGGGGTACAGATTCTGGGAGCCTCTGTTCACAACACTTGCCACCTGATGACTACCCAGCCTTGTTTCACGTGTGTTCCTGTTTAAAGACAGCTTCTTGGGATGCATGGGTGGCTCAGTTGTTTAAGTGTCTGCCTTTGGCTCAGGTCATGATTCCAGGGTCCTGGGATCGAGCTGTAGTCCAGCTCCCTGCTCAGCTTTTCCCTCTCCCTCTGCCCCTCCCCCTGTTTGTGCTCTGTCTCTCTCTTTCTCCCTCTCTCTCAAATAAATAAATAAAATATTAAAAATAAAGATAGCTTCTTTAATATGTATTTGTAAATAATTTATTGTACGGAGTACTTCCCCACACTTAAACACCAGCTCGGAAGTGTGCAACATTTCCCAGCTCGGGTACTGTGATTGCCAGGGTCTTTGGCTTTCAGCCCCACAGCTGTGCTGCCCAAGATGGTTTTACAGACTAGGAAACAGTCATCATCTCATGAATCCAAGAACAAAGCTCCTTTCCCCCTTTTTCTTGGAGTCATCATGCGGTCATCAGAGCCTCCTAGATGTTACTTTAGCACTTTCTGGTGTGGCTCCACATTGCTGTCATGAATGTCCTGTTCCTTTCCTGGATTTCCTGCACTGTTGACTCATTACCACTGAACTCAGTGCCCACAGCTCTGCAGCAGGAGCCTGAGTGGGCCTCACCTACACAGGTGTTTTGTCATGAGGCCCATCCCACCTTCTTCTGCTTAGGACACCAGTTAACCCTGCAGCTCTGGGCTTCAGGGCCATTTTAAACACTGAAATCACCTAGAAGACCACGGAAGTGCAGAAAATATGGCACCAAATGGACCATGAATAGGACACATGTTTACAGTGTGGGAATTAACACAGGAAGGCAGAGGGGCACTTGGTTCAACCTTGGCTTGGGACACCTATAGTGGTTGCACTCTACGTGTCCATGAATAGCGGTGAGGGCCTGTGTCTGGGGGTTACAAATCAATGTCAGCAGGTAGGCCAGTCGGTACAGACAGACTCCGAGAAGAGTGAAGATGGACCTTCTGTGACTGATGACCCCCGTGGCAGCGCGAGTGGAGATATCCATAGCTAGACCTCAGTTACTCTAGTTTCATTAATTAACTCAACAAACCATTCTCAAACACTGACCATGCAGCAGGGACATTCTGAGTGTCAAGTCGTGGGGAGGAAAAGGTCTTCCCTGTCTTCAGAGCTTGAAAATTTTACTTCCTGGTTTGATTGTGGTTTTCATTGTTCTTTCTAACCAGTTTGTTAGTCAGCAACTTATGTGGGTTGAACTAGGGGACAGGGATTTAGTTCTATTTTTCTTTTTTTAGGGCTGAGAGTGGGGCCCAAGACTGAAAAATGTCCAGAGGGGCCATGTGCAGGCCCCAGCCCTACACGTGTGGACGCTTCTGGAAAATAACGTTGAGATGGGAGAGGTGGCAAAGGTGAAAATATGGGAATGGGGAGAGCAAATCATGGGGACTTCTGCAATATCCCCACCTGAATCAGACTGCTTGGCTGTTTCTCTAACTTCCAGTCCACCTTGTCACCCTCTCATGGCCACCATGTGGATTTTGGATGGTTGACTCTGTCCTCATGTGTAGCCTTGGGCTCTGATCAGCCTGAGGCCATCAGGAGAAAGCATCCTTGTCAATGTGACATGTTGAAGGATGGGCAGGTAACCGGCAGGTGAGGCCAATCATCAGACAGATGCCATTTGCATCACCCAGAGTGATGGTTCAGGGCCAGGAACCTGCTCCAGGTGGCACAGGTCCCACACAGCCTGATTCTTATGGAGGATGGAGGGAAAAGAGATGCGTTCTCTTGTTCTGGATGATAAGGTCAGGGTGTGAAGCCTGAAATAAGTACAATCAATTTTCAGCATCAGAGAAGCAAGCTGAGGATGAAGCCTGCATGCAAGAAGGCAGAGAAATTGTATACATGAAATTTGCCAAGAGGGTAGATCCCAAGTGTTCTCGCCTCCGGAAGAAAGAAAAACAAAAGAAAAGAAAAAGAGGAGTTCTGGATGTGAGGTGGTGGCCGAGTTAACTGGCCTGGTTGTGGGCATCATGTCACCATGTACACATACACCAAACTTCTAATGGTTACTTCATTTTATGTTTTTAAAAGAAAATCTCAATTAAAGTATTCCAACATGAGATGAATGCTACCTAAAATATTAATTTTCATGATTTGCTTCAAATCAAGTTTCTTGACCAATTCTGCATTTTCCTTCTGAAATGCTACATGCCCTCCCTGAAGGCACTGCAGGTAAGGACATGAGCATTCAGGTGCAGTTCCATGCATGCTCCATGTGCACCAGACTCCCATGGTTCTTCAGGCCGTCCTCTCTGAGAAGTTGTCGGAAGACTTTCCTCAGAAGGACTTTTGTTCATGTTACGTCACAGGCTTGGCTGCACCTGTTAGAGCCCTCGAGGGTCCACATGGCCTGTGGTGCCCCCCAGCCTTCCTCCCTGGGAGCCTGGAAGGCTGCACACTATCTATAGGTCCAATGTTCATTTGTCATCATACTCCAGTGATGCCGAGAACAGCAGCAGTAACAAAACCAAGGCATCAAAAAAGTGAAGGCAGACACACAGACGCACGGAAGGTGCTGGAGCCCCAATCACTCTGGGCTCCCCAGTTCCATCAGCCAGTACATTCCCCACATGGTTTAAGCTCTACGTGGTGGACTTCTATCCTTAGTGACTGGAAGCTCCCCTCTGATGGACGTGGACATGGCCTCAGGGGGACACTGGGCTAATGTCTCTCTTCCTTGCAACGTTCCTCCTCACTTCCCTCTTTCTTTCCCTGGATTCTTGAAAATATTCCTCTATTCCTTTCTTGTCTGTTTGCTTTTTTCTTCATGTGTCCTCATCTTGTGACACTCTTACCCTGTCTTGCGTGTTAACACTGCCATCTGGATCAATCCCTGTCATGGATGTTTTCATGGATTTCTAACAAACCACTGGTCAGGAATTGAGGTGCTGGGTCTGCTGCTGATTAGTGACTGGCAGAAATTCATCCTCCAGGGTTTTCGTAGAGACCAAAGGACAAGCTGCACCAGCACATGATAAATCGGGAAGTGTTGTGGTAATGACAGTTAAATATTCAACGTGCAAGAAATTTTCTGTAGATTTCTTCCTGATACAATATGTCCATTCATTCTTTCATTTCATCACGTATTCAGCTTTTCCTATTTTTATGGTAAATATATTCTCTGTGAGTGGTACCACTGTGTATGAGAGGCAGCTCTGTGTCCAGATATTTAAGATGCAATGAATAATCTCTTCCTCCAAGTTTGTTCCTTTTTTGATGTTTGCATTTAATCACCCAGAGGCTAACTTCAGAAATCTTTGTAGGTTTTCCGTCCCAGCTTTTTTGTCTTTGCCAAGTTATTCTCTACAAAATCTCTGAAAACTGTTTCTTCCCTTCCCTATGGTGGGGCTCATGAACGTCCACATGGGGTGTGGACAGAGCTTTCCTCTCTCCCTGCAAGCATTCCTGTTGGTTTCCTAAACAGAGGCTCTACCTCAGCCACAGTGGGCTCGCATTTAAGGGATGGAAGTGTCCACTGGGAGAACCTCCTCATGGAAGGTTCTAGACTATAGTCTAGAGGCCAGGTGATTGGATATAGGAGAAAGGAGAAACGAGAACTTTCTGGATCTGGCAGTTGGAAGGAGGGGCAGTCTTGTCTGAATCCATGGGCTGACAGGGAGCAGGTGAGAGAGTGATGGTGGCCACTCCCGCTCTGCAGACGTGGCAGGTTCTGGGCATTGTGCCCCCACTCTGCATCACTCTCTTGACTGCTGGACATAAAAGTAATATGATCAAGTTGAAAGGTGAGATATTTTAAAATGTGAGGTTGGGTTGAATAGTAAAAGTATGTTAAGTTAGTTAGTATGTGATGTTTTCCTAATTTATTCATTAGATCCTGACTTTGTTC